AGAAATGACTGTAGCACTACAAAATTTGTAGTACAAAATATTTTTTAAAAGCCCAGCCACCCAAGTGGTTTTCGTGGTAATTTGTTTCAATCAGCAGTGCAAAGAATTATTGCTATCAGTAGAAGGAATAGGCTGCTGTGCTTACATTGTTTGTTCTAAAGCAGGACAAGAGCCACACCATTTTGATGGTAGTGATTTCATCAACAGGAGAAATACACAGTCCTGGACCCTGGTCGTGTAATTTTAAAAAGCTCTCAGTTTAGCTTTAGAAATAAGCAACCAGAATGGTCTGAAATTATATATTTCCACTCTCTGTACTATTTTAACTCAGTTGGGCTCTGAGGCTATGGTCCGTGTCCTGGCTTCCTCTTGACACAATTATTGTAATTCATTATTAAACTGTTATTTGTTTTCATTCTTTACACTGTCTGGTGCTATACAAAGCCCAGCAGCTAGATTTATAGTATGGAGAGCTCTGTTCCATTACATTACAGCTTCCCCATAGTATTTTTCTTGGCATGTTCAACAACACAGTGATTTGGGTATTTAATTCCTTACATGCTATAGATTAACCCAAATCTATGTGCTGCTTTTAAGTATTTCCTGAGCTTAGCAGTTTTCCTAACCTGAACTGCAATCCAAGTACAAAGTTCTATAATTATTTCAGCGCTTGTAGCCAAAATACTGTATCCAAGCACTGTCAAATTTGGACGTTCGTTACAAGTCCAAAATGGCCTCTGCATCTCATTTTTGTGAAGTTCATCTCGTTTTCACCTGCCAAGAAACTACTTGAGGAATAGGTGAACCATTCTGTTCACTGGGTACCATTTCATCTCTTGGAGACTTAAAAGCATCATCTGTCAGAGTGGCTGGGATGGGACTTGTAAGTTATGTGCCCTGTACCTGGCACAACTAATGGCAAAGACTGAAGGGAAGCTCTGCTGTTGTTCTCTGCTGCCCCTGCTATCACTGGTCTCAGTGAAGATAGTGGTGTTCGCACGTGCAAGGTACGTGCAATCTAGCCTCCATCTCATCTTTAAATATATTCACACTTGTTTCCTCCCAGCTCTTAGCAGGACTTGCACTCAAACATCTTACTGACAAATCCAAACCTTGGTGGTATTGCAGACCTTTATTGTCTATTCATACATTTTCTACCATTCCTTACCTTACTCCTTCCGTTTGTAAACCGCTCCCATTTCCTTGCTGCCATCTCCTCCTACTGCTGCTGTTTCCTACTTTTTTCTCCTACGCTACAGACTCCCCCTACTCCCCTCCCAGGCCCTTCCTGTTTACTCCTTTCCTTTGTCAGGTTTCTCCATTAATATCCCTTTTATTTTCACTTTCTTTTTATTCTTCCTGCCTTCCTTCTCCCCCTCTCCCTTCTCTTTTCCATGCTTCTTCTCTTTCCCCACACTCGTTCCTTGAAGCCTTTGTATTGATGTCCTCTTGAAGCTCATTCTTTCTCTGTCTTAATCTACATTCCTGTATTCCACACTTGTAATTCTCTTTGCTAGCCAAGATAAGCATTTGTCCCCAGGAAATGTCCCTGTCCAGGCATGTCCCTACAACCCTTTGTTTTCTTCAGCTTTTGTAATTCTCAGCGCACCTGTGTGCCTGAAGAAGCCATTCATCAACACACAGAGGCAGGCAGCTTCATCAGAGTGAGCTCTCTGCACGTGAATGTGCCTCCACTATCCGTTCTTCTTTCATCCACAGAGCCTCTGAAGGAGCCCTTGCTGGCACGAAGGCAGAGGCTGCAGGACACCGACCCGTCCCTCCTCGCTCATCTTCTGTCAGAGCACGCAGATCTCTGTCTCTGCAGTACGTGACTTTCTGCTGCTGGAAATGCACTGGGATTCCAGGTATGTATGTTTCAAAGCCACTGTTGTTCTGGTATGGTATGATACGACGTGAAATGACAGTCCACAGGATACATGAGCCTCTTGGAAGAAAGATTGATACTTGTCAGAGTTTCCCTGCCTCAGTTTTCAGAAGCTGTTGTTTATTTCTGGAGGTCTCCAGGCTTACACTCAGACCGTGCCATGATTTAGTCCTCACATTGCTTTGCTGTCCTTCTTGGCCTCAGGTTTTGCAGTTTAATGGTACAGTTACCTGTCAGGGCAAGGACTTCACGTGGGAGCTGGGAATTGCAGATGAACTTTTACATTGTGTGAATGGGTGACCTTCAGTCTTCCCTGAGCACCTCGCTGCCTATGAGAACACCTGTGTACAGAGTTTGAGTCAGAACTAATCAGAGTTTTGTGAGCTGTCCCAGCTGCTCACAGCTAACAACAAAATGTGCAGGCAGCAGGCAAACGTAATTATTCCTCTTGAAAGAGGTCTGAATGGCAAAAGAGCTACAGAGCTGCTGGTCTGCAGATACGGACAAAAAGCTACAACTGGGCTAAGTTCTGTTCATGTTTATCCACAATCATGGGTGAAGAAACAAACTGTTTTTATTTTCCACTAGGAGGGCATAATCAAACAAATGCTCACCCGTTGCAAGAGCTGCTAAAGGTAAGATGTTTTCAAACTCCATTTGTCCATTATCCCCCAAAACTGCCGTTCTCTCCTGCTGTGCACAGAGCTGTGGTAGGTGGTGGGTTCTGCACAGGCATAAAAGTTGGAGGCAATACTCCTGGCACTTTGGCTACAGGCCTCTTGGAAAAAATATCCTGTTCGTGTAAAGCGCTTCCACATTTCTGTGCACGCAGTAAACGTAGTGGACTGAGTTTTATCTCTAGTTTGAGTCTGCTGACATGCATTAAGAAGTCTGTGGTTTTTCAGGAGGAGCAATGTTTTGTCTTGTTTGTCTGCTCTGGCTTTGGAACAGAGTTGGTATAGTTTGGGTACACTCAGAAGACTGTGGCTTTCCTACAGACTTCTGCACGGTGATTGAACTACAAGTTGTGGGGGCACTTAGACACTTACTAGACAACAGCGTTAGAGCTGTTTGGAAAGAAGGAGGGAAAGAGCAAAAACCACTTCTATGTGTACATGAGGGGGTTCCTCATAGTTGGCTTTTCAAAAGAAATTTTTCAGCCACCATGGAATGGCAGGGGGAAAAAAACAGCCTAACCAAGTTCTTTCTTCTGTTCTCCCAGTTCTTTGACCAACACCTGCTCAAACTTTGGCTTTGCTTGATATTATTCCTTGCTGTGCACCGTTTCTATAGGGCTGGGTTTAAGGAGATTTCCATAGGGTAGCATTAGCGCGATCAGTGGGAACTCTGCAACTTCCTGCACAGCCCATAATACGTGTTGTTCCTGGTACACATAAGTAAAAACAAGAATTGCAGCTTCTATGTTAGCTGCAATACGAGTGGCCCATTTTCAAGAGTCTGTCTTGGATCAGTCATGGGCTAACATGGTGATTGTTACCAGCATGGCTGCCCTCTGGGACTGCTGCTGGTGGGGCACAGAGCAGGCACGTCTGTGCTGTTTGCAGACACAGTGGGCATCTTTTTATGATATCATACACAAGTAGCAGGCAGAGTATGTGCTGTGAGCTCTGCCAGCCCCTGCCAGGGCATGCTGTGAGGCCACCTGTGGTGTGAGTGTGTTATTGCTGCCCAATGGCACCCGCACATGGTGCTGCTGTGGCTGTCGTGTGGTTTTCCTGCCATCTCTATGAGTGGTTGTCCTGCTGGGCAAACTTTCCAACGTGGATAGAAATGATAGAAATGTATGTTTGCACATCAAAATAGGCAATTTATTTGACAAACAGGCACGGAGGTGTCCAGTTATCCCTTTTGCTTATGCAAATACAAGTTTTCCCAGGCACGACAGCTGTGCCAGCACAGTGATTATTTCCATAAGGTTATCAGATTGTTATCAGGAGGGGACGTGCCTTGTAATAATGCTCAGGAGCATTTCTGGGGCATGGCTGGTACTGATGTGGGAAGTGTATTGACAGCCTCATGGCAGTTAGGCTCACAGCTGGAGTGGTGCAGAAGGTTCAGCATAGCACCTGGTACCGAGGCCAGGCTGGGGGAGGGGTTGTGACCGGTGGCCACTCTGTCTGGAGAGTCTGAGGCTGGGATGTGCATGAAGCCTTCCTGCCCTGCTACTTTGAGCAGCAGAGCTCAGCCAGGCCCCGGAGATACAGGAAACCCTGGGGCATAGGTTAAAGCTTCAGGGCCCGGCAGGGGCCTGGCTGAACAGCAGCACTTTGTGCCTCACCTGGGGTGGGTTGGTAGAAGTTGTGCTCCTACAAGGGCCCAAAGCATGATCAGCTCCTGCGGGCATCGCAGACCCTTACTGCAATACCCCGCTGCAAATTCGTTGCAAAATGTTTGAGACCGCTATGCAATCCCATTCCAGGCCCACAGTGCACAGTGGTGCACTCCCTTGCCAATCCCATTGCAAGTCCATTACAAAACTGCACAGAGTTGCATAGCACTGTGGACCCCTTTGCAGGGCCACCGGTGCACAGCATCACAGACCCCTTTGGCGGACTCTATTGCGCAACGTTGCACACGCCTTTTTAGGGCCCCCCTGCCGGACCTCTCGTAGGACCTCCAATGCACAGCACTGGATGACCGCCACTGCAGGACCTCCCTCCATCGCACGGCGTCGCGGGACCCGCCGCTCCAACGGCGCAGCACGCCGCGGTACGCGCAGTTGCAGGACCTGTTGCGCACCCCAGCAGGGGCCCCCGGCGCGCAGCGGCGCGCAGCACCGCCCGCCCCTCCCGCGGGCTCCCCTATGAGGTCAGCTCTCGCGGAGGCCCCGCCCGCCGCCCCGCCCGCCTCCCTCCCGCCCGCGGCCGCAGGGGGCGGCGGGCCGCGCTCCGCCCCGCGGCCGCCCCGCTCCCGCGTTCATTTCATTCCTCCCCTCATTCCGCGCATTCTTCGCATCGCTGGCGCCGCGCAGCCCGGCCGGGAGCCCGGCCCGCCCCGCCGCCGGCCGGGCAGCAACTCAGCCTCCGAGGGCTCCGTCCGCCGGCCCGCGGCCACCTACCGCCGCGGTATAAATAGCCGAGCGGCGGATCAAAAAACAGGCGCGGGGCCGCGGACGGCCGGGGCGGCCCGGGGGGCGGCGGGCGAAGTTCGCCGGCGGTGCGCGGAGGTAAGCGGGGCCGGGGCGGCGCGGTGCGGGGGGCCGGCGCCCCGCAGGTGCCGGGCGGGCGCGAGGGAGGGAGGGAAGAAGGGAGGAAGGGAGGCGGGCGGGGGCCGCCGCGCGCGGGGGCAGAAGTTGCGTCCCGCCGAGTTCGTGCCGCCGCGGGGCCGCGGCCGGAGCTGCAACAGGCGGCTGCCGCCCGCACTTAGCGCCTGAGTCACCGCGCGCCAGCGGCACGCACACACACGCGCACGCGCACACACACACGCACGCACACCGCCGCTTCGCACCGCTCCGTGCCGCTTTGCACCTATTTATCCGCGGGAAGTTGGCGGCTCGCGCTCCGCAGCCCCCGGCCGCGCGCAGCCCCTCGGGGATGGAGGCAGCGATGCCGCTCTCGCCGCCGCGTCTCCTTCTCCGCCGCCGCTTCGTCGCACGTTCGAGTGGAAAATTTTCGGGAGTCAGCAGAAACGTTGTATCCAAAAAAGACAAAGTCGCGGTCGCGGCAGCGCCGAGGAGGCCGTGCCCGGAAAAGTTGCTCCCGGTAGGAGCGGCGCGGAGCGCGACCCGCGGGGCGGCTGTGCCGGGCGCTGCGGAGGGGCCGGGCCGGGCCGCCTTTGTTCGCAGACGGAGCGCGTTCAAAGGAAGTGCGCTTCCAAGGGGGAGGGAAAAGTTGGACGGCGCGGCTTCTGTGGCGGAGACGGGACGGAACGGCCCCTCGGCGGCCGAACGAGGGCGGCGGGGAGGGTCGGGCCGGAGAGGGCTCGGCGGAGCTCCACGCCGTTACCGAGTCGCGCTCCCGCCTCGGCCCGGCGCTCCCCGGCCGCGTTTCTCCGCCCGGAGCGCGGTCGGGCTGCGCCGGTACGGGGTCGAAGTACTTCGGAAACAATGAAACGGCGGCCGGCCGCGTTCCTCGGGAACGCTACTAACTTATGAGAAACCGGCGGCCGCCTTCGATAGCGGAAGCGAGGAGCGGCCCCGGAGCCTCCCGCGCTCCCGGGGCTCCGGCGCTGCCGCCCGGGGCGAGGCCGAGGGCGCGGGTCGCTGCCGTTCCCGACGGGAAGCCACGCGGCCGAGCCCTGGGGCGGCCGCGTGCCGACGCGGCCGTAGTGTCGCCGAGCGGGAGCCTGTTTGCTTTCTCTCGGCGCCGATAAAGTTGGCTGGTTAGCGGTCTGACGGAGCTGGGCGAGCGGATAGCGGGACGTCGGGAGGCGGGCGGCCGAGCGCCGCTCGATGCTCCCGGCGTTGTCGTGGCGCGTTGGGCGTTTGCAGAGCGAAGCGCTGCGGGATGGCAGCTCGTAGGGAACGCTCGGCCGGGCGGTACCTGCAGCTGGGTGCGGAAACGAGCGTGGTTACGGTTACGTTAAGGGCTTAATTGAAATTAATGTACGATCCCGGAGTGGGAACGTGTGTGTGTGATGCGCGGTGCGTTCTGTCTCTATAAATAGTTGGGGAATACCGTTACAGGGAGATTGGGTTGTACCGCGGCAAGACGGGGCTATCAAGAATGACACAAACCTGTAGATTAAATTACTTGTTGGGGGTGGGAGGGGGGTGGCGTGTTTGTGTGTGTGCGTAGTTATCCGTGTGGGCACACGCTTTATTTGGGAACAGAAACGCAGGAATTAATACAGTGAATGTTCCTAAAGCGCAAAATGGAGCGTTTTGTGCGTGGATTCCGTTCTAAGCTCAAAACTTCTCAAAATCGACTTTGGGATGTGATTTTGACCAAAGGTCAGCTTTCAGGCCACATTTTCTTTCTGCCCCTGCGCCCAAACGGTGCCTTTTCACACGGCGCTGCATGCTGTTAGCTCAGTAGGGCAACTGTGATGTGTCTGCTGCAGCTTTCTATCATTTGACCGAGTAGAAATTCTGGCTACTAATGATTTCTTTTTGTTTTTCTTCTTAAAAGTCCAGAAATACTTTTTGGGAAATACTTTGCTGCTGAGCACACGTTAGGTGTATTCTGAGCATCGATTTTTACATGGACTGCTTCGGTGAAGTAAAGCTCATTTGCTTCTGCACACAGGAAAGTCTGGCAACAGCTTTCGAGTGGAATTATGGTTTTATATTCGGTGCTGAGCGGAATGTATGTGAGCAGCAAAGCAGGGGAAAAAATGTTGATTTGATATGAGTCTTAATAAAGACAGCCTCTGCTTAAAGGAGTTTGTTTTTTTAGCTGTTTTATTAAAAAAAAGAGCAGCAGAAACTTAATTATGAGCCAGAACCTCGTGAGTTTCCAGCTGAGAAGGGCTAGTGCGTTGTGATGCGCCTGGGGTAACTTGTAACTGGCGTTTGGTGGTGGGGGTGCAGGATGGTGCCCTGCTGTTGGGTACTGCTCAAGCGGTTTTCAGGCTTTGTTTGGCCACGCCTGAAAAAGTTAAGCTCAGTTAAGTCACATGCAGAGGAAGAAAGGATTCCTCCTTCTTTTTAAGTGACCCGCGTAGATAACGCTGTCAGCAAACGTTAAAGATATAGTGCAGGCACAAGTGTGAGAAGGGCTTCTGGAGCTACAGAGACATTCTGGCGTGTTTTGTTTAATAAAAACTGAAAGGTAAAAATATGTAATTGTGTTATGACATAACTGTAGTTTTTAATGTATGACTAGCATGGCTACGGTGTTGGAACAACTTCAGTAGAAGTAACCTGATTTTATGAGAAGATTGTTTCCGAAACATGAAGATACTGCGTACGGTTCTGAATGTGTGTCTGTGAGATTATCTTCAGAATACAGGCGTGCATCTCTGTTTTCCCATCCACTATTTCTTGTTGAAGTTAATGTTCCTGTTGTATCTCAGCAGAGATGGTTTAAAAACTGCCCGTTGTTCTGAAGTGATCGGCCTTATTCAGAAAGCAAAGATTTGCTCGATCCAATCCTTCCTCAGGTTAAAGTGACGGAGATGACTCATACGAATAAACATTCACGGGATCAAATACGAAGATATTTACAGTGTATGCTTTATGTACACGGTTAGCATGATATTTGATGCCTAAAGAAGGACACGGCTGCTGTTCTGCATCTTTGATTAAAAAGAGTATCAAATCCCATCTACGTGCTTTCCTCAGGTTTTGGTAAGGAGACTTGTTTGCTGTCTCACTTCTGATCTATCTGAAGCTTACAGGCACGATTCTGTTATAAGTTTGTTGCTGGTCCCATTTGTGCTCTTACAGCATGTGCACACACGAGGTGTGGGCTGGCTGCCTGCTGCTGCCTGTTGCGAGCACTGGGACTTCATGCAGAAGGCACTGAGTTGGCTGCAGTCGGGGTGCAAATTGGCCCTTTAGACTTCATTTTGAAGTTCTCTTCGGAAGGAGCTGCTTTAAAACACGAGAGAAACAGTAGCTGCTGCTTTCTGGGAGCTGAGATTTAATTACCGCTTTGTCCCCGTGCGGCACCTCGCCGGTAGTGCCCAGCTGTTCTGTATTCCTGAACTATGATTATTTACTATTGAAAAAAAGTTAAATCAAAATTTTAGAGCTGTTAGGAGGTAAATGATCTCCCTGAGAGTAAGTGCTGGTGGGGGCTGTGCAGCAGTTTATACGAGCACCGCATAATTTACGTCGTATCCTGTGATATATGGATGGATGGTGCTACTCATTGTAAAGCCAGCCGACTCTGAGCCACCCAAAGACACGTTTTTAGAAGAAAAATCTCGGCAATAAATTCCCACTTTATGTCCGTATCTTGCTCTCTGTTCTTGCACAGAGCTCCTTTCGGTTTTTGCGCATGGAACAGGGATGGAATAATATTTCCTGGAATAATGCTCTGTTGTGTTTTAATGGTTGCTCATTCCCAATGCCTAAGAGTGAGAAGTTGCAGGCTGGCAGTCCTTTGAGGCACCAACGTGAAACCTGCCTCTGCTGTGTGGCACGGAGCTGAGGCGGGACGTGTCCTATGCCAGGCCTGCCTGGCTGCAGTGCGAAATGGCGGTGCTGCCATGGGAATTGCCATGCTGTTGGTGTGCCCCTTGTGGCTCCCTGCGTCGATGCGCATTCGGCAACTTTTATGCTATCTCTGGTTATTAAAGTTCCCCCAGAACTGCAGTCGTTTTCATACTCGCTGAACGAAGAGTGGAGGGGAAGGAGGTAAGGATCCAGGGTCTGCTTCCCAGCAGTGAATGCGGGGCGTCTTGCTGAGGAGGTCCATGAATGTCTCCGTGAGCAGCCCGCCATGTGCGCGGGCCCTTATTTGTTAGCTGGGCTTCTGCACGTTCCGTCAAGAACGCATGGAGAATCCAGAGGGCTCACGAGGGGCGGTTAGGCACTCACCCAGCTGGGGCATGGCTGCGGCCCCACGTCCCGCTCCGTCAAGCACGTTGGGTTGGCGCCTGGCCCGCGGAAGGCGCACCTCCAACTTGTCCTTCTTTGTCTCTTAGCCCTTGCGGTGGTTCCTCCTGCTGCACCTTTCTTGCGGCCCTCGCTCAGCAGCCATCTCTGAAGCTGTGAGTCGCAGATAGGCCGAGTGCTGGCGGGTCAGAAGGTAGAGTGTGAGACTGGGGGAAGGGAGGCCGGCCTGGGACTGTGTGTGAAGCTATTAAAGCGCTATTGACTGGGAATCTGAAACAATGACGAGTGCTGTTGTTTTTACAGATACATAAACTGAAAACTGCTGCTAATGATGGGAAATGTTAATTATGTGAGAACATATTGAACTTATATTCTCTGGCATGAACTTTTTTTAAATGCATCAACTGTGCTGCCTTTTATGTGCACAGCTTTCTAATTATCATAATTCAGTACAGCTCTGGCTTTTGGAAAGAGTTCAAGTGCAATCTCAACTTAACATGAAAGGAGGTTTTTTGTTTTTTGTTTTTTTTTTTTTTAAACAGAATGTTCAAGAAGAATTTGAAAAGATAATCTAAAAATGCTATGTCCTTAGCTGGGTTTAACTCGGAAAAGAAATCTGTTCCCATAACTGCCTATCAAAGCAGAACACGTTATTAGAACTATCTTTATTTTCCTCGTTACGTCTTTCACAGTCCTGCAGAACACAACTAAAAACATCTTTG